TGGCACGATAAAATAAGCTGACCAACTGGCTCTCAGTGACCCCGTGGTCTGGGACGACTACTAGCTCGTCCATAACGCAATTTGGGTTCTATATTGCGCGTAATGATATCAAATTTTCCCCGAATATCTACCTATGCTTGTATCTGCTCTCTCTGCTCCTTTATCACCTCCAACTCCTTCTCCATTTTACTCGCCTCATCCATCCTTCTCTTCTTCTCCCTGGTGAGACGCAACTTCCACTATAACTTTTTCTCCTCCTCTATTGTCTGGCGTCTCAGGGGATCCTCTTACGCCTCCAGCTCCCTCACAACTGCTTCCTGCTCCTCCCGGGGAACATACAACATGGCTTCTGCTCTTTTCGCCCGGGACAAATTCGCCACCCACTCAGAAACCTTTTTCTCTAACCATGACTCCTCCCTCTTCGTGCCACTGGATTTTCCTTTATCCCTAGTGCTCCTTCTGGTCAGGGGATGCTCCTTTTCTTCTTCTATCTCTTCCTCTTCCACTACTTTCATTTTTTGTTCCTCCTCCTGCTTTAGTCTTTCCATCTCCTCCTCGAGCTTCTTCCTCTTCACCGCCTGCTCCTCCAGTAGAGCCAACTTTTTGGCCTGTCTAATCAACTCCTTCTTGGTCTCCTTCTCTTTTCTCTCTTTGAGTACAACGGCGACTTGCTCTTCTTGAGCCTTGGTGTAAGGGGTGGTACTCTTCCCACTACGTAGGTCAACCATGGTGAAAGGTGTACAACCAAGAATTAGTTCCACTCCTCACCACTTAGACTCGCACCCCTGACTGACTTAACTTAGGACTGACTCAACTAAGGACCACAAAATCTTTGTAAGATCCTGTCAACTATGGTCTCTAGCCTAGACCTAAAATTAAGGTTGTCACTACAGGACGTACTGCTGATCAGGAGGCATTTAAGGAGATCCCTGTAACTCCTCTGGAATTATTTAACATCGCAAACAGGACGACGTGATCAGCAAGTCCTCTCAAGACTTAGCTCGTTGCGCAGCCCACAACTCGGATTTTGGGCCTACTATGCCACACTGAGCAGCCCGCCAGTCTGTATCGGTCCTTGGGAGGGTTCGTGTCCTCCGGGTTAGTCAGTCGTCAGACACAACCTTTAACCCTACTCAGCACGTGTGGGTTTGGTCAACAAAGCTCTATGACCTCATACACAGAATTCCTATCACCTAGACAGAAGAGACTCAATGCAGAAAGAAGAGACAAACAGACTCAGCAAGTACCATGGGTTGAGTGCACATCCATAGGGTGAGGGGATAGGCTGAAGGCTTGGCGAGAATATACCAACTCCAGCTTGGTTAATGTTGGGGTCAACAGCCCCGGTCAACGTTGGTCAACGCTTGGTCAACTCGTCGGTCAACGCCTTGGTCAATGCCAGTCAACTCTCAGGTCAACTCCCCGGTCAAAGTCTTGGTCAACGTTGGTCAACCCCTGGTCAACGCCTTGGTCAACCCTCAATTCGGCTATGGCTGCCGACCCCTTCCTTCCTCACCAACCTTCTTTATCCTCCTTCTTCCTTCATCCTTTCTCCTCTTTCCTCGCTTCACCAACTCTATGGCTTCCTCCTTCCTTCTCCCTAGCTACGACTTCTTCTCCGTTGTCTCTCCTCCCTTCTCCTTTCTCTTTCTTAGTAACCCTATGTTCGAGCTCCGCGGCTATGGCCGCTTTCTCCCTTGGACCGCACAACAATCTTGTATCGCTCCTCTCTCTCTCTCTCTCTCTCTCTCTCTCTCTCTCTCTCTCTCTCTCTCTCTCTCTCTCTCTC